TGGGGGGCGGGGGAGGAAGGGCGGGGGTGGCCATGGCAACGGTCGCCGCGGAGACCGGATGCAGCGCGTCCGGCCACGCGCTCCGCCGCCCCCGCCCCCCCGCGCGGGGCGTTCACACGGCCGGGCCGGATCCGGATTCCGGTCCCGTTCCGCCTTCAGATTCCATCGGCTCTGGAATATGGATCCTGAGTCGGATTAAGATCCTGGTCCGGATTCAGAGTCCAATGGATCCTGATCCGCATTCGGGTCCTGCTTCTGGGTCCAGATTCCCATATGGATCCTGAGCCTGATCCGGATTCAGATGTGGATCCTGATCCAAATTGAGGTCCTGATTCAGATGCCAATAGATCCTGATCTGGATCCCGATTTGGGCTGAGGTCCCCATCCAGGTTCAGCTTCCAATTTCGATATGGATCCAGCTTCGAGTCCTGATCCTGTTCCAGGTTCAGATGTGGATCCTGACACGGATTCAGATTCCGATACGGACCCTAATCCGGATTCATAGCCCAGTCGGTCCTGATTCCAATACGGATCCTGGTCCAGATTGAGGTCCTGATCCCGATTCCGAGTCCAATACGGATCCTGATCCGGATCCTGAGACTCCGATCCGGATCCCAGCAGCCTCCGCTGGCGCGGGGGGAAGCCAGGGTCCCCGTGCCCCCGAGCCAAACGCGCGGCGACGGGCCCGGCTCAGCCCCCCGGGGAGACGATGCTGCCAGCTCCAGGGCAGCGAAGGGGTCGAGCCCCATCAGGCGCACGTCCACGCCAGCCCCCGGAGCACGGGGGCTCAGCCCCCACGCACCCGCCGGAGCAGGAGTCTGGCCTCCCGCTGCCCAGGCCGTCCCAGGCCTCCTGGATGCCAGGACGCCCACTCGGGCAACACCAGCCGGGGCCAGATGCCAGCCCAATCGCGGGGCGTGCTCCACCCCCAGGCCCGTGACAAGTGACGAGTCCAAACCCCAGCAGCCGCTCAGGCTGACCCCGGCCAGGCCCCGCGCACGCCCCAGTGCCCCACACCGCAGCCTCGCCCGGGAGAGCGAGCACCCGGGACCATGTGGGGCGAAGACACGCTCTCCCCCCCCGGCTCGGGGGAGCTCGCTTCCCTGCCAGCGCACGGAGGACGCCTCCGCTCTGCTTGCACGGCTCCCACGCACACCCCCAGACTGACGGCACCCGCAGCCGCAGGCACGTGGGAAGGAAAGACCCCGCGCGACCCCGCCAGAAGTGCTGGGCACCCCCCTCCGAACGGGCCCCGCA